ACTTTGTGTTGCAATTTCTTTTAGTCATCATTAACTAGGCTGTTTACAACTATACGTAAACCCTCTTTTCCTGCTTTTCAATTTCTGAAGTCCACCTATAAGTAAAAGCTTGGAGTTTTTGCCAGCCTTTTAAGAACAGGAATCACATTTTGAATATCTCCATGCCCTTCTTAGTTTTGTGGCACTTAAATATCCTCATTCCACCATCTGTCTGTTTTGTCAACCTTCTCTTGACCAAGCTTCAAAAAGACCAGAGTCTATGGGTGAGAGAAGATCACTTGTTAGTACTGGAATGAGACTGTGTACAGAAGAGTAAGTGAGAACAGTGAGTTCTCTAGATGGAGCATGGCAAGCTTTAAGTAACTGCAGGGACTCAGTATGTAATGAGATTAGTTTATATGATCCACATGCAGAAGGCTGAAGTAGAATATGGGTTAAACCCTGCACATTAGCATAGCTTAGTTCAACACGTGAAAAATGATGATGAAGAGGAGAGTGGGGAGGAGCAGCAGAAGCAGAAAGGCAAACAATGGCCACCAGCCTAGGGAAGGAGTGAGCTCTGTATTACAAACACTTGAAAATGTGGCAGAAGAGAAGGCATTGAGACATGAGTTGGACAGTGAACTTGATTTTAAAAATATTTTTACACCTGAAATTCTTTAAATTCTTTGCAAATTTTCCAGTTGAGAGTTACAAACTTGAGGGGAAAACGCCATATTTTAAAGGATCATGACATTTATTTTCACAGTTCTGAATTTTTCTTTATTTTTTAACACCGTCTTTTGCATTATTAAAGAAAGAGACTAAAATATTCCAGTCATAGTTGAAATGAAGATGTTGTAAGAATCATCTGAAGCTTTTGCAAAACAAATATATTATCAGGGTTCTCTTGGGTAAATGTACAGTTAGCTAATTCTATGCCGTACTTGCCATGCATAGTTACAGAATGATGTGGTTAGACAGCTAATTATAACTGCTGTTTCTTCACATTTCAGCTCACTACTAGGGAAGTAAAGGACTAGAGTTATCTCATTTCTCTTACATATTTACTGATTGCAACTAGACTTGAAGACAAGTTTGGAAAAGTGGGGCTTGATGTAGTAGAGAGAACATGGGAGAAACTCCATGTCATGGCAGTCAAGTAGAAACATAATCATAGTCATGAAATTTAAATTTTTAGAAGGAAAAAGCTAAAAAGTACAAATGAAATTATTTTAACGATTTATTTAGTCCAATATATGAAAATATTTCCATTTCAATATATTATCCACATAAAATTATTAACAAGATTTTTTATTCATTTTTGTATTCCATTTTCTGACGCTAGTTTCTTTTCTATTGAAAAAAATTTCTGACAATGTATTTGGATCACAGTTTCCCTTCCCCCAATTTCTCCCAGAAATTCCCTACATCTCACCCCTCCCCCTCCACACCCTTTCTTTTTCTCTTTAGAAAACAAACAGGCAAACAAAACAGAAAATAAACTACAAATAAACCAGAATGAACAAAAAAGAAAGAAAAAAGCACAACACACACACACACACACACACACGCACACACACACACACGCACACACACACACACACACACACGCGCGCGCGCGCAAACCCATAAAAACATAAAACTGAAAAACATAGAAGCAAAAGAACAATCAGACAAAAATGCTATGGAGTTTGGCCATCTATTTCCTTCTGCAAGTGGATTGTGTAATCTAATTTCATTACATGTTAAGAGTCTTGCAGTTACTTAAAGATGGCTGTGTTCCATCTGGAATTCTTCTGTGTATATATTACCTCATTCCAGTAGCAACAAGTGATCTACCATTATCCACAGTCTTGTAGCAAATGGCCAAACAAATGAGAATTAGGGCCTCCAATTAACTTAAAAGCAATTATGCATAAAGAATTCATGAATTTGTTTACCTGGGCTTAAACAAAACATAGCATATACATGCACCAAACATTACACTAATTTGTACAACTTTGTTTATGAATTTCACTTAATAATAAGTAAATGAGAGCAAGAACATTGAGCATGATGCACCAAAGAACAGTTAATCAGATACTCTTCATTCATGTTAGTCTCCAAGCAACTAAACATGTATGTATGTAGGTAACTAAATATTGAAGCTGTACTAATTTAGAAAATTGGTAGTGGTAGCTTCCCTTCTAGGATTATGACTTTTACAGCCACAGGTTCTTGGCTGGGTTCACAGTAACAGGAATGAGCTATCTCCTACTGAATGGGTTTAAGTGCAATTACACAACTGTTTGTTAATCCTCAAACCTAAGTGCCACTTTTGCACCATTGGGATTTCTTGTAAGTTCAGTCGTTGTTGTGGTTGTCAGGTTTGGCATCTGGGTAAGACTGTTATTAACTTTTCTCCCTAGGCAGCTTGCATAGCACCTTCTGATATATTGAGAACTAGCCGTGAAAGAGGAGGCTTCCAAGTTACTGCCAGTATGATTCTTCTAAGTACTGTAACTAAAATGCATGGTATTGGTATCTCCAGCAATCGGCAATGCCTTCAAGTTGTGGGAGGTTATCAAGGGGAATGGCAATAACCTATATTGTTTTGAGGGATCTCCTGGCACTGGGGTTTTTGTTAGATACTCTGTTGCTCTTGTTGTCACTCCCATGTTGGGTAACTATTTCAAAAAAGATATACATATATATATGTGTATATATATATATAGAGAGAGAGAGCTCTTTTGGGGGGTTAGTTTCAAGATGGGGTTTCTTTCTGTAGACCAGGCTGGCCTCGAACTCACAGAAATCTGCGTGCCTCTGCCTCCTGAGTCCTGGAATTAAAAGCGTGTGCTACCACTGCCCAGCATACAATGTATTTTTAAGTAAGCTTATAGAATGTGTTTCTCTGTAGCCTTTTCAAACATCCTCAGTGTTCTTTACCTCTCCTTCCTCCCTCTCCCTCTGGTACACTTCCTTACTGCACTCAAATTAAGCCCCTCCCCCATTTCCTCCATTCCCCCTTCATAGCACCTGTGGTCTTCTCTCCTTCCTTTCCTCAGTGGTCTTTTTCTACTTTCTTGGCTCTTTGTTACTCAAATTATATATGCAAATCTGAAGATTCAGAACTAGGAACAAGAATTAAAAGAGCATGCAGTATTTGTCTCTGTTTTGGGTTACCTCACTCAGTATAACATTTTCCAGTTCCACCCATTTGCCTACAAATTTAATTTTTCTTTTTAGCTGAATAGAATTCTATTTTATATATGTACAAACACATGTGTTAGAGAAAAATAAATCAAGTTATCAGGTTTTTAACACAGACCAATGCATCCTTTAAAAAACTCCATTCAAATGATCATTCAAAGAATACTTTTTTAAAAACCACACACACATCTGTGTGTAAACGGAAGGGAAAAGTATGACTAATGAAAGGCCTGAAGAAATAGCACCTAAAATATATTCTCACTCACTGTTTTGACTCCACCCCTCCGCATTTCTCTCACTTATAACTGTTCTGACAAAAAATGATTTAAAACTGGAGTTCTGCTTCCCTTAGCACAAGTACACACAGATGGTGATGATAAAGACAGATAGGTCCCATTTGTATGATGATGTTTTAAACAGGAGCTAGATGCAGTATGTGGGAAAATCTCAAGAGACTAGAATCTAGTCCCAACTCTACTGCTTTCAGTCCATTATTCAATGAATCATAAGCTAGTTGACATTTTATTATAAACAGAATTTTTATTAGGTGACTTTTGCCCAATGGTGGGTTAACCTGAGGATGTATAAGATAGGTGTCTTACTTAAGGTTTCCATTGCTGTGATAAAGTTATGTCCAAAAGTCAACTTAGTCATGCAAAGGTTATTTCATCTTGTAGTTTGTCGTGCATCACTGAGGGAGGTTAGGACGGGAACCTGGAGGCAGGAGCCAATGCAGAGGCCATAGAGGTGTGCTGCTTACTGAGTCATGGCTTGCTCAGTCTGCTTTCTTATAGCACCCCGTGGGAGGACTACCAACCTAGGGATGGCACCACCCACAATGATCTGGGACCTCTGCCATCAATCACTAATTCAGAAAATGCCCTACAAGCTTGTCTACTGCCCTATCTTACGGAGGCATTTTCTCAGTTGAGAGTACTTCTTCCCAAATGACTCTAGCTTATGTCAAGTTAACATAAAACTATCCAGCACAGTAGGTCAGGCGGGCTAAGCTATGAGACTCAATAAGTTTGATGTATTAAAATTTTCTTTCCCTTTTTTTCTTTCCACACTGCCCTTGAACTCCATATGTAGCTGAGGAGGTTCTTTAATATCAACTCTTCTTCCTTCCATCTCCCAAGTTCTGAGATTACAGACATGCAACACTATTCCCAGTTTTATATGGTGCTGGGGAACAAAAGGAAGCTAGGCACATGTTTTACCTATTGATCTGTATCCCTAGTGCAGCACTTTCAGTTTAATGATATTTTCAACAGTGGGTTAATTGGGTTATAACGTCATTATCACTTAAGGGACATCTGTAATAACGTCCTAATTTATCAGCTTTTAAGTTTATAAAACAATGTCATTATTCTCTTCTACTATTTGACTTGTTGGGTCTTTTAAAAGGTTACTTCTATATATGTTAAATGAGTGTTATTTAAAAAAATATTACATTATTGTTGGAAGATTTGTGCTCATGCATGCCATGGCTTGAGTGGGGAGTCAGTTCTCTCCTTCCACCATATGGTTCCTAAGGATCAAAACTCAGGTTGCTGGGCTTGGCAGCAAGCACATTTAACCACTTAACCATCTCAACAGCCCTTGAGTTCTGAATTACTAAAGAGAAGGAAGCTAGTATAGGATGAAATTTAATCATCCTTTCTCTCCTTCATCTTAGGAGTTTGGCTTCCTAAAATACCATTGATTAACTTGTTCAAAAATCGGTGCTGTGGAGAAATCAACTAAATAGCACGTTTTAAAATATCACTAATTTTTTCTCTCTCTCCCCCCTCTCTCCTATCTCCCTTCTTCTTTTCTCTCCACAGTGACTGTTTTGAGCCCAGCAGAAAAAGGTACGTGTATATTGTGAACTGTGTTGGTCATGAATGTATCATGTATCCTTTTCCTTTTCAAAAAGTAAATTTACCGAAAATATGCTTGGTACATTAGAACATTTAGAGTGATTTTTTAAGAAATTTTACTCAGAAATAGAGCAAAACATATTTTCAGTGGCACTTTTGGCTATAAGATAGCAATTAGAAATTCTAAGGATTCATGGAGAGACGGACACAAGCAATCACATTATCTTCTGTAGTGACCCATAAGCTCTCTCTTCTTCTGTCCTTACTGTCCTAGCTACCTGCCCTTTTTTCCAATCCATCCCCTCTTTAAGATATGGAATTCCATGTGCCTTGACCACCACAGTTCCTATATATTCTTGTGTTCCTCTCAACAGATCATCACCATCTTAGCTTGATCTACAATATTTTTAAAACAGTGAGATACTTTGCATTTAAAATATACAAGCTAATCATGAGTCTCCATGAACAATTAGCTTTACATTATTTTATCAAAAGATCTGGAATATATAGTGTAATTTATAATGTCACTTTAAATTCTCATTTTATGGGGGTTTGTTGTTAGAATTCATTGACCTTCCCATCATTCAAGATCTGCTATGTTACCCTTCTGCTTTCCTATTGCTCATTTAACATGGATAACAGAGCAGTAGGAATGGGAGACAGTGGACAATAGTACTTAAAAGTGTACGCTCTAGAGCCAGATTGAATTTACAGCTTGGTTCTTTCTTCCTAATAAAATATTTTACCCTCATCCTATTATTTGCATACGCAATAGAAACAATAATACTACCCAATTTGTGAAGATGTTATAAGACAGTTTAATTGCACATAAAGCAGTTAGAACAAAGGTGAACAGAGCACATCCTAAAAGTTCAATAAACATGTACTGTTATTGTGACAGCAATAGAGCAAATCTTAAGTTGCCATTTATTCTTATTTATGGTTCTTAAAATCAAAAATCATTTTGTATAAATACTAAATAATTATAAATATTTCCGTTTACAAACTTTCAAGATCAGCTGGGTGGGAACTTAAGTGATATTCTACCAAACGGCATAATAACGATGTTCTCATTGTTCCAAATAATAATAATAACTTACTGTGCTGGGTATCCTGCTAATACAAAAATGTATAATTTTATTGTCTCTTCTGATTCTTAGAGTCCAAACTTCTTTTCCCCTGACAATCCTTAAATGTATCCACACAGTAAGCAATGATATTAGACATTGTTTCTACATTCTGTAATGGGGTGTAGTAGAATTTAGGAAACAGAAGGTATACGTTGGAGATCTAGTGGTGCCATTTGCTAGCTCTGGGACCTTCATCAGGTAACTCACCTTCTTTGAAGTTTAATTTCTATAAAAACAACAACACTTTGACATCTCAGGGCTCGCCTGTTAACTAATAAATATCTGTAGCTAGTCTGCTTTGTTAGGAATCCTGACATTTAAGAATAATAACAGAGAGCCAGCTGTTGGTGGCACACACCTTTAATCCCAGCACTTGAGAGGCAGGTGGATCTCTTTGAGTTTGAGGCCAGCCTGGTCTACAGAGTAAGTTCCAGGACAGGCTCCAAAGCAATATAGAGAAACCTTGTCTCAACCCCCCCAAAACAAAACAAAACAAAAAAGGGTAACAGCAGAGATGTGAACACCTAACAAAGCAGACATGCTACAGATGGTAAGCTAATGACTATCTGAGGTACCTAATAACTCTGAATATGTAACTTGTCTCCAACAACATTGAACCTTTAGAGTAAAATAAGTAATGTTACTATCAGAAGGAAATAAAATCTCCAAATCGCATGACTTTTCTTTGTCTCCAAATTTTAAGGAAACTATAGTCAAACATACTAAAAAAGGGTTTTTTTTGTCTAATTTATGGGTTAAACAGTCTTCCACCAAAATTCCCAGTCACCTGGTCACCTGAAACATTGGGACATGTTCCTATTTGTAATAGGATTTGGGAGCATGTATGTAATCATGTCAAGGTGACATCATACAAGATTAGACTGAGCCTCAGTAACTTGTGTTCTAGAGGAAATCTGGACATGTAGGTAGAGAAAAGAGCCATGGCTGGAGGAAGGATGGTCATGGTGCCTCAAAGGAGCACTAAAGATTGTCTGCACCCAAAAGAAGCTAGGCAAAAGCAGGGAAGGATTCCGTACTAGAATTTTGAGCAAGAGTATATCCTAGAACTGTAAGGGAATGCATTTCTGTTGTGTAAACCAAACAGGTTTAGTTTCCTAAAACTCCAGGAAACTAACAGAGTGCCTGGTAAATTTCAAATTTCAAAATTCTCTTTACAGTGCCTTAGAAGTTAGGAGAGTTGTAGCAATAACAGCTAAGTAAGGCCTTGCTGTCACACCTACCTGGAATTAGTTGACTTTGCCCCTTACCATATGCATGCCATGGGGAAATTAAGGTTGGTTCCCCTTTCCTCTTTTGTAAATGGAGATAACACTTACCTTCTATGAATATTCTGCGCAAATACTTTGGAATAGTGCCTGGTACATGATAAATGTAAGTAGTAATTGGTACTATTACTGTGTGATGATGATTGCTGGTACTAAACATTAGAAAGAAACTGAAATTTCTTCTAAGACATATGACATATTCCAGAACTGTGGTTCCTCATGATTCCACTTGTGAGTAGATGGTTAAAGCTCATATATTCATATTGTAGAACAGTTGAGATCCAAAGAACTAAAATATTTTTACGCAGTCATGTTGATTCTTGTGAAAAAGAATAGAGGCTAAAGTCCGGGTTATCGGATGCATGTATCACAATGTTAGATACTGTATCAGCTTTGGTGATTCAGAAGTCTAAAAAAACTTTTAATGACGTACACCCTTTCTTATTTTATACTAAAATATGATAATAATATATTTATTTTGCTTTTATAAGTATATTATAAAGACGATCTTCCTCAGTATAATACTGTGTTGAAGATCTTGATTGCAAAAATTTTGCCTTCCCTTACCCTGAAATGAGGATTGTCTGAGCTAGGGTTTCTATTACTGTAATGAAACACCATGACCAAAATGCAAATTGGAGGGAAAGGATTTATTTGGCTTACACTTCCACAGCACTGTTCATCACTGAAGGAAGTCAGGACAAGAACTCAAACAGGGCAGGATTCTGGAGGCAGGAGTTGATACAAAGGCCACAGGAGAGTACTGCTTACTGGCTTGCTACCCATGGCTTGCTCAGCCTGCTTTCTTATAGAACCCAGGACCATCAGCCTAGGGATGACACCACCCACCATGAGCTGGACCCACCCCCATCCATCACTAATTGAGAAAAAGCCCTATAGCTGGATCTCATGAAGGCATTTCCTCAACTGAGGCTCCTTCCGCTCTGATGACTCTAGCTTGTGTCAAGTTGACACACACAACCAAACAGTACAAGGATCAGGGATAAGCTAACAATTGGAAATTTAATAAGAACCAAGAATGAGGTGAAGCTGAAAATAAACTTAAGAATGACATGGGCATCAGGAGTGACCCATCATTCAGTCCAAATATAATTAAGAGTAATACACTGCTCACAGTTGCTCAACTTCCCAAAAGGCCATTAATCATTGTAAACAAAAGTTCAGCTCATCCTCTGCAGATTCATTACATTTTTTTGATGGCTTACATTCTAAATTCTCTGGGTTCTTCCTTGAAGTTAAATGATTGTAATTATGTACTTTCTCAGAAATTGATGTACTTCATAAATATTAAAGCTATTATAGATTTGAGTCGCCCCAAAATTGATAGGTGGTGTCTAGCTCCCTGTACTCCTGAATGTAACTTTATTTGGTGTAATTAAGTTAAAATGAGGTTATTGGACTGGGCTCAAATTCATTATGATTGGTGTCCTCAAAAATAGAAGGGAATTGGACACAGATGGTTATAGAAGGAAGACCATATGGAAGATAGAGGAAGAAGATGGCTGTGTACATGCCAAGGAAAGAGGCCTGAGAAGGCAGCAACACCTTTGATACCTTATCTTGGCTGGTCTCCAGAATTGTGAGAAAACAAAGTTCTATTGTTTAAGGTATCTAGTCTGTAGCACTTTATTTTGGCCTAAGAAAACTGATACGAGAGCTTAATCATATATCTTGGAAAACCAGAGCATGGAAATATCTGCTTTGTGTCAGCTTTACAGTTATGCTAACCTTAATTTATAGCTGATATATTAAACTATGCCAGGATTGTAAGAGATAGCTAAGAGAAAAGACCGTAGGCTACATTATGATTTTTTGTGGTCTTCTCTAGAATGTATGGAAAATCTTCAGTATGGTTTTAAGCTGTTATCTCAGTACTATTTGTCTTTTATTTATTGTTTAATTTTTTAATTACTTATTCAAGGCAGAGTCTTAGTATATAGCCCTAGCTGCCCTGGAATGTATGATCTCATACTTCAGCTTCCCAAGTATTGGGATCTTCAGTTATAAACCACCACACCCAGCAAACTTTGTTTCTTTATTGCATTAAGGATTAAACTATTTCCCCAGCCAGTGATATTTTTTTCAAGATGGGGTTTTTCTGTGGAGCCTTGGCTGTCCTGGAACTCACTCTGTAGACCAGACTGGCCTTGAACTCATGGAAATATGCCTGTCTCTACCCAGTCAGTGTTCTTTTAAAATAATTTTTATTTAAAAATATTTTTCATTTTACATATCTATCCCTGTTCCGCCTCCCTCCCCTTCTTCTGTCCCCTACCTCTCCCTCTCCCTCTTCCTCCCCAATCCATTCCTCAGAGTGGGTAAGGCCTTACTTGGAGGAGTCTACAAAGTCTAGCATACCAAGTTGAGGCAGGACCAAGCCACTCCACTCTGTATCAAGGCTGAGCAAGGTATCCCACCGTAGGGAATGGTCTTCAAAAAGCCAGTTCATGCCTCTGGGATAGGTTCTGGTGCCACTGCCAGTCCCCTTACCTCAACAAATCAAGCCACATAACTGTCACCCACATTCAGAGGGCCTAGTTCAGTCCCATGCAGG